CATGGAGAAGATAGATTAATAAGTTCCAAGGACTGGGATGGAGGATTTTTGCGACTAGATTCAGTGGCTGTCTTTCTAGGTGGACTAATAACACGTCTACCTTTACTTTCTCGGCTATCCTCAGAGTGTGGAGGTTGTCGAGACATGTGAAAGACATAAACATTTTTTCGTAATGGTTAAATTTCTCAACAAGCACCGACATATCCTTCCCAATCTCAGAAAAACCATTTCTGGACTGCCTAAAGAATTTAAATAAATCAACTTCGGTTGATCTACATTTTTGACAAGACCAACGAAGACCCTTTCCGTCGTTAATAGCGTCTAACACCCTACCGCTCAAACCAGCACATTTTATATGGGCAATCCCATCACAGAGCCAGCATGACAAATAGGAGTTGCTTTTAACGTGGCAATTGGTATAAATACACGACATGTTTAAAATTAAATTTAATTTTTAGGTTTTAGAAGCAAAAAAGCAAAACAGTTTTGAAAACGATGTATCAAACAGAGAACAAATCAGCTGGTAAATATCAATAGGAAAGCTATGTAGCGAACAGTTTTAAATGCACTGTATATTTGACACCTAATAAACACAACGCAAACAGCTGTGACAAAGATGGAACAGCAACAAAAAGAGCAAAATCAATGTGCACAAACAAAAACAATTGTACAACAACAATATATTATATGAAACAAAATACTCGGCACATGCAATTAAGAATATCAAGTTAAATTAATCAAATTTACAGGAAATTTTGATAGTTTACTTATCTTTAAATTGTGCACCAGAAGTTTATTAACACTTTTTTTTTAATTTATTTACTTTATTAAGCGTAAACAGCTTTATAAAGCACAAAATTTAAGCAGATCACAAAAAACACAGCTTCAAAGCTTTGACGTTTGCGTATACGAGCAATTCGGAGTCCCAGAAAGCTCCCTCAGATAAAGGAGGCTTTGCGGTTTTTCAAAATGCTCCTAATTTAATTTATAATTAGATTAGATTTATTAGAGGATGTGCACGGCGACCTTAGGTTTATTGTGCCCTTAATATATAATTTGTAAGTAATCGAGTTTTTTTTTATTAAAATAACTTTAATTTAAATAAAATGATGTAACATATTATTCAGCGCAGCGTAATTACGGAAATAAACGGGATTTTCAACATCGAACAGTCTAACCCGACCAAAGGCTACATACGGCGCTGTTCCAACTTGTGATCATCAGTGTGCAGCAGATCCAGCAACGTTCGAATCCGACGTCCCATTAATAATTCAGCCGGAGTTTTTCCAGTGGTGGTATGAGGGGTACTGTGTTGTTTCCGAGTGAAAATCTCGCAATTCGGCAGAGCTAAATGCCGTGCCGTTGTCCGAAATGATTCGTTTCGGTAAGCCGTGCGTTGCTATAATTTCCCGCAGCTTGTGTTTTACTTCCATGGACGACATGTTACGTACGATTTTGACTTCGAGCCATTTGGACATTGCATCTACTACCACCAGAAATGTGTTTCCCTGAAAGGGTCCACCAAAGTCAATATGCAGTGTTTCCCCGGGATAATCTGTACTAGGGATGTGTTGCCTCGGAGCTGCCGGAGGGTTTCCACCGATAATCTGACAT